TGGGGGCATTTTTGTATTGCTTTTGGGCAGGAAAGAGGGTCATAATGTTGCGACATTCTCCCCAGTGTGCGTACAGCATTAGGAAATGTCTCACTTGTTGCTCATTTTTTAGCTTTCAGGCAGACTTATACCACCAGTATATTCAATGTTGAATCAGCAATTATTCATCTGCTGGTTCAATCCAGTGCAAAACCCATTAGAGGTGAAGCTCAGAAAAACATATTGTTACGTAGTGTCCAGTCCATGTGGGTGTCCCAGACTGATTATCACATGATCAACCAATGGGGTATATAAATAGACCTAAAATGGTGTGAAGATATGAAGTCTATGTGAATGACATGAATGTATTGGCCCTCCACAGATTTAGAAAGAGAGGGAGTAGTACTCTGACAAAATGAGAGTGTGAGTAGTACTCACACATAATGAGGAGTTAGACTAATTCCTTTGGAGCAATTGAAGATTTTAATACCCTTCGAATCCAGGCAATATTTAGTTAATAGGTGACTGCACTATTCATGACACTTTCATGCAGGATGGGGTGCAAAAAGCCGCTGAGGCACTGAGAACAATTTCTAATTTACATTGACAGCCTGGCAAACACACACAGTCACGTTATATGTTTCAACAAACACTATCAGCAGAACGTGTGGTTGTACAGGAGAGGTTAGTGACTTTCCACTTGTTGATTGTCAAGGTCAAAATGTCTGGTAGCAAGTTCAGCTGTGAGCCACAGAAGCTCAGACAAAGGGACCTGCTCACCCAACGTCGATGCCCCACCTGAATGGCAGCAAATCCGACCAGAAATATTTCAACATCTAATGAAAACCATCCCAAAAGAGTAGAGGCTATTAAAGCAATAATGAGCCAACCATCTTCATATTAATACCTTTGGTTTCAAGACGGACAAGCTGGTGTCCACATACGTTTAGCCATATTGTGTAGTTCAGTAAGGGATTAATGTTCCACTGACACGTCTGAAGAGTATTTAAGTTTTCTGTTTTATTGCTGTGTTTAATTTACCTCTGAGGTCAAAAGTCGGAGCTGGGAATGACATCACACCTGAGTTAACCATGTTCCAGTACGGCAAGTCGGAAAGCCGATTAGCGATATCAGTTCTAGCCAGGTACATTATTAGCCAGTGTTGCTAACAATGCATTACATGGTATTTTGTGGATAGTAACACTGTAGCAGAACTTTGTGTATGACTAATTTAACTGGGGTATAATAAAAGACAAATACAGATTACTGCCTATTTTATATATTTTCTCTTTTCTTATGGGCTGGCAATGAGGCACAAATAAGACGTAAGTGCTAATAAACAGTATAAAACTACAGCTTTAACTTCTGTTGATAAAGGGACGCTGCCATCTTCAATTGTAAGGTTGAGGTTGTGTAGATTCCTCTGACTTTCAAAGTAGGAATTACGATTTCAGGGGGTGTTCCAGTGGAATTTTTGACTAGGATGAATCAAGCAAAGAGACAGGTAATGTGTTACAGAAAATTTCTCCAGACACAAATGTGTGCACATAGTTAACCTTAAAATGGCTATATGAGATGGGGGAGTGACCCCTAGCTGTCTTGGCAGCGAGGGTCATGTGACAGGGGGTAGTCATGCTGATTGGTTCCACCTGTCTCTCTGTCTCACTGAATACACAAGTTGAAGTGATCTGCTTTTTCCTCACCCACCAAGTAACTTGATTCTTGATACCAGCCTCCAGTGCAGTCCAGTACAGTCCAGTGCAGTTTCTCCCAAATCCATGTTTGTTTTGTTTTGTTTCCCTTATGTTGACTTTTTGCATTTTCTTGAAGCCAGCCCTGACCGGTTCTACCCTGGTCCATAAATCTTGAAAAGAGCCTCACCTATGAATAAGATGTCACTTCCTACCAATCTGTGCCACATATTTCAATTCACTATCCTGACCTGATGGATGTTACTTACTTCTGTTGTGACAAACAAAAGATCACCAACAGTTCTAGCCCCTTGGTTTGTGCATTTAGTGCCTCTGCATGCAGGAATGACCCCTGGCCGACCCTTTCTACACGTCTGTGTGCCAATATTATGCTTCACGGAAGAAAGCTTATTTAAGTTATTTATTTTTTACTTGACTGAAGTTCAAACCTACCCCGACACTTTAGACCTGCATTCAGGAGGCAGTTCGGGAAGGATCTGAAAGTGCCTCTGGCAAGGTTTCTTCTCTCCACATGAAGAAATATCAAAACACCAAGGACAATGCAAGTGTGATCCTCAGAAACCCAATTTAACCACCTTGTGCATATGGAAGTTATGAGAAGTAAGCACGATCTTACCTGTGTAAGTATGTAATAAAAGACAAATACAGATTACTGCCTACTTTACATATTTTGTCTTTTCTTACGGGCTGGCAAGTTTCTTAAAATAAGTAACAAAAGGGCGATTGTTCTTTTTTGGTGTAATATAAGTAAAGAGCATGTAAAGTTTCCCTAACCCTACTCAGTGGTATTACAGTGTCTTTATAAATACAGTTATCTTCTAGGGGACGTGTTGGGTCCTCCCACAATACGTATCCTGTGTCAGTTAAGGGGTATTACATTACACCTCAGTGAGCTGCCTTCCCTCTACACAGTATCCTACCTATTAACTTACAGAGCACAGGGCATTAGAGCAAGGACTGCTGACAATATCAAATATTTTCTTCTCACTTCCACCTCTGAACTTCTATTTTTTTTTTTTTGAAAGATGTAACAGGTTGGCTTTGATAGATCTCAGCTCTCAACTTCCCATAAACCCCAATATAATTTGTTCTATAAAATTCAGCTTACCAAACTGGTTCCAATTGTGTATACCCACGATCCTTTGCAGTCCCATGTCAGGGTGTGTGGCCTCTCGCCTCTTTCAAAATCTGCGCCGCTGTTCCCTGAAGCTGTCTGTCCTTATTGGCGAACAGTAACCTCACCTTAAGGTGTGATTGCTTTTTTTGTAGCAATATTTTTATTGAACAGAACAAGAATGTGTACATACAATGCAAACAAGACATTTTTTTTCTCTTTTCCAAGGTGTGATTCCTATACATAATAACTACTTTGCTTTAATCATCTTTTAAGCATTAATTTACTTTAATGTCTCAACATTCGGGACCCACAAGTGCATTTTTGGGACCTAAAATTTCCTGAAATGCATGGGATTTCAGTTTGTTTCATGTTGACGTTTGCTTTCTAGTCGGAATGCTGCATATCTGCATATCTGCATTGCTCTGACACCGCTCTTTACGTCCTTCCTCCAGTGTCTTTTTTTGAAAACCAAAATATGGTCACACTACTCATAATCAGTCCATTGTTGTCCTCAGATTTAGATCTTTTAACTTTTAAAGCTCCCCAAGCAGTTCCCTTTTTAGCACCCAGAGACGGGTTTCATTCTGAACACAATGGGCATCCCCTTATTTAAACCATCACGTCCTAGCAGAACTATCCATGTGTTCACATTGGTAAATAACACAGCAGAATTACCTCTCATCCCTTCAAGCTACACACAAAAATAATAAAAAGGGGGAAAAAACCCTCACAAATACAAAGGATTTCATTGTATTAAAAAGAATGTGTCTCTGTGTTGTGGGTGGTAAGGAATTTGGTTTAAGCATAAAGAGGGGGGGGGGGTGAGCAGGTAGACCTCACATCACCACAGTTGGAGGACTGAACCCAGGACCAGGTGTAAGTCTGAGTAGTTTATATGTTACCCCCATGTGCTTGCAAGGGTTTCCCAGAACTCTCTGGATAGAGGTCATGTATTCTCATGGGGGCCACCGAGTTCAGATCACCCCACTTGGGTTTTCTGCCCTGAGCTGGGATCTTGTCCCCATACCTACCCTAAGTTTCCTGCTATACAGTAAAGCAGACTCTGCATTAACTCATACCTAGCTGGAGAAAAAGGCAGCTGGATATTAGAATGAGTAACAGTGTGAATGGGGCAAAAAGAGAAGGTCTCCCAAGTAGAAATGGGGGGGGGGGGGTTTGCTTGGTTAATTCAAAGTCCAAAAGTCTCATTACTAGTCAAAGCCTTTGTGGCACCAGAGACAAGCTTCATTGCTTTATAAATACTGTTAAAATGCCAGTGAAAGTGTAATCGAAACAGACCGCGGGAATGTTGGCAAAACCAATCTGCGGCAAACACTTTTAGCGCGTTTTTATTATAGGTATGCATCGCTGGAAGGAAAGGACGACTGCATTCCTGTCCGGTAACAAAGTCCATCGAATATCAATGATTAACAAGAATGCAGTTTGCTTTAAAAATACGTCCCATTGTTTGCCTAGTTAACGATTAACCAGTACACTACTTGTTGGACCAACTACGCGGTAAGATCTACAGCTAGTAAAACAGAGCAAAATTCTGCTCTGTGAACAGCAGATTGGCGGCTACGGGTTGGAAAAACACAACATAATTCATAAATAATGGGGCCATCAGGAGGAAAACTGCGCATTCCAGCGCTGAAAACAAAAAATAAACAAGGATGTGTTAAGCCACAGACGTATTATATTTGACGTATGAAATCAATCTAAGCGTTTACTGCGCACAAATTGCAAGGCTGCTTGCTAGTGATTATATATTTGAGATTACATGCTTATTAAATATAAGTATTTAGGTGTTGAATTAAAGGCTTAATGAGGCTTTTGCTTGCCGATCCTGGACATTGACGTCACCACCGTAGTCATCCGCAGAAAGACGGAGGGACAATACTAATGCAGCTTGGCTAATTTAGCCGTTGCCTGTTATTTTCCTACCATATTTCCTTATCACCTTTACAGTACAATAAGCAAGTCCGGGAGCTCGAGGCGTGCGTCGACACGTTTGCTAGACACCAGCAAACAACCATAACTTCCCGTACTCTTTGCGGCTGGGGGGTCTTACGCAACCGCAGCTCTCGGCTTGGCCTTGACTCCGAGAGGCAACTTTACGCTTCTTTTCCATTACCCTCCATTACGAGTCAGGAACTTTCACCATGTGAAAAGAAGACTCGGGACACTGCAAACATTTTTTTTCCTCAATTATTTAATAAAATCAACAAGAGAACAGAATAAAGATTTCAGTATGTACAAACGTTATCTCGCTGGTCACTGAGAGGCAGGACACGCTGCATCTCACATTAACGCCTTTTTTTCTCAGCCAAGGCGACGATGTGGCTCCACAGACTATGCAAAGCTTAGATATGCCAGTATAAAACGGTAAATATGAAATAACAAAATATAAAATTTTTCATTCAATCAGTGAGCAGACAAGTACATGACAGCATAAGGTGTTTTATAGACCATTTACAGTACAACAGATCACTGCAGTGTTTCCCGTTTATTATTTTTTTAAAAATCTACCATAGTTGTCAGAGAGCTTGTCTCACAGAAGACATTATTCAACCCCCGCAAAACCACATTTTGGCAAAGGGCCTCGATTCATTCAGAAACGGAAAACCAAACCCACTGCAGACAGGATGAGAGACCAGTGGTGATAGTTATTAAAAATATAAAAAAATAAATCACACGCCAGAATTGGCGTAGATGGGACTGACCAGCTAGTCAGGGGCACAGGAGACTCATAGGAATAAGATTTCTGCAGATCACACCGACCGAATCGTACTGCCCCCGACATACACACAGTTATCAGTATTATACGGATGACATTCTGTACCTTTTGAACGCTCCCTTGCAATTAGGGATTCACACCCGCCCCCCCCACCCCACTACCAAGAGCTTTGTCGGTATTTATTAGCAATGCAGGCAGTCCACCATAAAACGTGACCCATGGGGGACAATAAAACTTAAGGGGAGGCCAACTCCCCCATACAATACCCAAGAACCAATTACTTAAAAAAAAAAAAACAATTTAAAAAAAATCGGTCTTGTGAGACAGATTTTAAGATTAATCCATTTAACACTTGCAGATAAAAACACCAGCCACTGGGCATGAAGAAAAAGTCAAATAATTTATAAGAAGAAAATAAGCATAAAATGCTTTAAAGAGATCAGAACCTGTTATATGAAATCAATGATTCATTGACTTCTCTAGAGGAGAGATTCACATCTACTGTAGACAAAAAAAAAAAAAAAAAACACTTAAAGCAGCAGATATATAATGTTTTTCCTCCTTGCAAGTGACACGGCTCCAGTACGAAGCAGCCCTGAACATTTACTTTCCTTCTACAAAAATAAAAGCGTTGCGTATAAGAAACAGCAGCAGTTTTGCTTCAGAAATTTAAACTTGTGTATATTAAAAAACAAAAAAAACACCATAAACAGCTTAAAGGGAAGCTATCCCAACCTGAAAAAGCAATATTTGACAGATAAATAAAATTTAAAAAAAAAAATCTACTAACACAAAATAAAAACATTTTAAAGTAGTTAGTATTGGCAACTATTACTGGCATTGGTAGTTTCTAGCAAATCATTTCTGATGTAAAGACTTTTTAACTGGAAAGAAACATGACACTGGGAACTGGAAAAATAATATTTTGGTATTTAAATATTTAGTAAGTAGAAAACTGGAATAGATTAATTTACAAATGGCTATACATTTACAATGAAGTTTAACTCATTTGAAATATTGTAGTGGGAGTCAAAACATTATGATCAATACAATTTAAAATCAATTTACAAATGTAACAGTACAACATGGACACATATACCCTGACATCATTAAAAAGAAAAAAAGGTGTTGCCCCGTAACATGAGCCTGGCTGTTGGAATGGAACAGGATCTCCAGGAAAGGAGGATTAGGTCAAGTCAACTCAAACCCATACATTAGGCTGTGCGATTGGCTCAACTTTAGTTACTGTGACTAAGATAGTAGAGCCTTCCAACTGTCCCCCGTAGCACCAGTTTCCACATAATTAAGATGGCTGAGCGTCAGATAAGAGGGTGCACCATGATTTAAACTAAAACAAAGATATGCCAAGCTCTGCATGTAAGGATGTTGTAGTGTTAAAAGAGGGAAGACTATTACATGTCTCGACAGTTCAGATTAAGGCTGGGCAAAAAGATGCGAAAATTTCTGTACCACACAGCTCGTGAAGGGAAATGTCCCATTCACTCATCTTTATTTATGGATTGTGAATTCTTAAACTTCAGTTTTCAAAAAAGAAAAACAGTGATTGATCTGAAGTTTTTCCTCTTGGACCAGTAGGCTGTCGGCGATTTGGAGAAGGCAGGTAGTAGAGAGGTTGTGTTTTGAAGGCACCGTCGCACAACTCCATGCGACCCTAAGCGTAGATCTCAGTGGTGGGAGCTTTCTTGTAAATAGGCCTCTTTCCAAGGTCATAGGTCCCTTCGTCCTTCTTCTTCAAGCGGTAGAAGAGCAACAGGATGAGAAGGCCGGCGATGACCAACCCGACTGAGCCCCCAGCAATCAGAGCTAATGGGGAGAGGAAAGCTGTCAATTAATACGGCCAAACTACAAAGCATGAGATCATTCACAGTCAACACTTAACAGTAAGGTCACATACTGCATTATATTTAATACCATCAGGTACTCCTCAGTCACTCACAGCACACCCTGACACCCCGAGGGCTCACCTGCTACAACCTCGGTCTTCTTGAAGATGTCTTCATTTGCATGGGCCATCAGCACATTTGGCATTTGGCTCCCCCGGTCCGCCGAAGCCAGTTCAGCAACCTCATTCTTCTTTACAAGCTCGTCGTCGTTGACCAGGACCCTAGGCCTATTCGACTGGTCCTCATCTGGAATCTTGTTGTCGTTCACATCGAGCTGAGGAACGATTTGTCACTTGCATTAACTCAATGGTACGTTTACAGGCTTAGGTTTCTTATATTTAAACATTCAGAATGGTAACTTTTCATAACACGTCTAACAAATCAATGCAAAACAGGAAAAAAAATGATCGATGAGGTAGGGGAATACCTTAGTTGTGGGAATGATGCTGCTGCTCCACAGATCTGTGGAGAAAATAAAATGGATTAGAAAAAACAACAAATGTGTAGAGGAGCTGTGCTTCCATTCTAATTGTGCAAAAAAAAATGCTGAAAAACTAAATATACCTCCATCTCCAGAACCAGACATGTCATAGTCCTCATCATCTTCATCATCCATATTGAAATCAAGATCCAGGTCAGATGTGAAGTCTGGGTCAACAGGGGAGTCACCAGAAGAGACTAGCATCTCCTGAAGATCCTCAGGTTTTGGCTTGGGAATCCACGTCTCAGTCTCCCTCACCTGCTGAAGACAAAAAAGGAAAACCACACACCATTTAGACATCAACTACAACGATAACCATCATAAAGGTAAAGAAATAGGTGGCAGCACCAACATGACTAAATATCATTGGGTGATTGTTGCATTTTGAAAGTTATCAGAACAAACAAACTTCAGTTAGTCCCCACCAATTACATAGTTTGACCAATACAGTAAAGCTAATCCAGTAGTGACCGAAGAGAAGACCAATTAACAAAATATAAATCCCTAATCTAATTACCCAGACTGCTAAAAGGGTTTGATTAGATTACCCAACGGGATTAATACTCTGAATGGCATTAATCAAACAAACTGCAAACAGTCAATTTTAGGCAAGGAACAAAGAAAGGAAACACAAAGAAAGACATTAGGGATTCCTGGGGCACATTAATGCAGAACGTGTTTGGGTTAAAGTGGGGACGTGACCACTGATATCATCGACTGGGTCGATTAGCCCTGATTGCTAAGCTAAGGAAACAAGCTCTTGTTAACACCTGGTGCTGGGCTGTTCAAATATGTGCTCTGCGTCTGATTAGGGAAGCACTCCTGCCCTGTTCATTGTTCTGCTGCAGCAGGGCTAAACAGGATCTTTTCTTCGGTATCGTCATGCTACAGGAACGTCTCTGTTGTAGGAGCCAGGTGGCCCCGACCGAAACATAAAACAGCGAAATTTAAACATCAAAAAGTCAAAACACTCACGCTAAAGAAAATGCTTACGTATCCAACCATTGTTTCAGTTTCAAATAAATCCCATTTCGCTTGCCAGTGGCAATGGGATATAAAAATCCAAGGAAACAAGACGCGTGTGTTCAGACATTTAGGCCACCCGAGCTCATGTCACACAAGCGAAAGGCTTTAGTTAAAAAAATAGATCAAAACTAAACAAACAACGACAACAACTACAGCCTGCATAGTCTACACCTGGGGCTTGTACTATGAAGCAGGGTTACTGGCTTATCTGAGTAACTTGTCGGATTTAAGGTAGTCTGGGCAAAATGTGAACGAATATGAAGTCCATTTAAACTGTGGTACCTTAAATCCGACAAGTTACCCCAGTAACCCTGTAGCCAGTAGCCCTGCTTAGTAGTACAGGCCCCTGGAATCCTCCTCCCAAGTACTGGGATCTCTGTCTTTGTGTTAATCTCGGAAAATCCTGGAACAGGCCACAGCATGCAGGACGTTCATTAATATCTATCGACAAAAGCGCAGTCTTTTGAGCGACAACGACCTGTTGATAGCAAACAACAACATTCACGCTTCCAGTCCCGACAAGTCACATCCTTGTTCACGTTACTAGAGAACATAAAATAAAATCCACAACCTCAGTAATGGTTACTAGTCTTAAAGGGGTGGGAGGCATTGACTTCAATAACAAGAGCAGCAACGCCATCTAGATAACCTCTTTGTAATCAGTGACAGATGGTCTAATGAGAATATTTACATTCATACAACCCATTATGTGCCCAATTCTGCATTAACTGAAAACTTCTGATTGAACATAATGCACGTGAAGCCGGAAGTGTGTCTGATTCCCCCGTTAACACACCCATGGACTTTAAATTAGCATGCATGAGGTCAGAAACTACGGTCATATTGAGGTCTAAATGTGAAACACAAACAAAATAACATGATAAATACGAAACACTTGTTGATTCAGGGGGTTTGAAGTCAAAAGCCTTTAAGGTATCTACAAGGTATTCAGTGGGCCAAAATTTCCAATTATCAGACAGCACAGAAAACCACACACTTTCAGTTTGCTCCCTATCAAAACATACATTTTAAAATGACACATTTTTACATGATACAACACACCATGTGTTCCTGCAGGCTAAAGTCAGAATCACGTCATTAGAATTGCACACAGAATAGGGTTTGAATTGCACATGAGACCAGATTGCTTATTTTAGGAACTCAAACAGTCATTGTTTATTTCCCAGAGTAATCCAGAAGGCTTTGTAGATCTGTGTAATTACTCCCACACCCAGCCATCTACCCAACCAGACCTCATTCAACCCAAGATAATATAGGGGGGGGAAAACCCCACATTCCAACATAAATCCTCAAACTCCAGGCTAGTAGTTTGAAATGTCTACCGTTTCATGGACACTGAAAGAATAAGATAAGGCCCGCACTTTTTAAAATGTTTTTCAAAACACAAAGCAATTCAAAGTTCTCAATTTTTAGGGCTGACACCTCTCCCACAGGCCTTCTCTGTTTGGTTTGTCACATTTACCGAACTGCATATGGGGAAACCGCTCACCGAAATCCCCACGCAGGTGACATTTTAATTGAATGCCGCAGGATTTCCCCCCACTGGTTATAAGCAGAAATGAAACCTGTCAGCATCTCACCATGTGGTCTTCAAAAAAGTAGCTTAGCCGAGACAATACGACCACAGGAAGCTATAGAGACATGATTCACGTTGACTCCCGCTTTCTGTAAGGCGCGTCACGTGACTGCTGAAACCTTAACCAAAGACACCACCGAGCACAAAAAACACCCGTGGTTTTTTTTTATATAGTACATCAGCTGAACCCCCAAAACACCCCAGGGGTATTTACAAATACCTTGACACAAAATGCCACAGTGATGACTCCTAGAAACAGCAGGACTGCTTCCTCTTCAGAGACTCCAATCATTTTTGAGTTAACAGCTTTTAAAGTTTACAAATAAGCAAAGAACTTCCACCTTGACATCACAGTACTTTTATGACTATCGAAGCAACTTATAAGCGCTTCATAGCTAGCTAAATCACGGATGACTAGCCTGAGCAAGCTAAAGACAGCCTTCATCGCAACATGCTTACTTCTCAGAACGACCCTCCGACATCCAGAGAAGCCAAACTCTTTGAAGTCAGGTTTTCAGGAGTTTAGCTGCTCCTGGGCCCGTTAATGCAGAACAATGCAAACCCACCCCAGCTAATGAAAGGCTTCATTCAAGAATGCCCAGGTGACCGCAGGCCCCTGCTTGACAGTTATGGCCAGCTTCTTGTTGCTCTTCGAGGACCCTGCTTGAATCAGCCAGATTTGTGCTGTTCAGCATGTCAGCTGACACCCCCCCCCCCCCAAATCCACCCGCTGTCTGCCTACACCCTGCACAGGGCCCCATCGTTCACACATTCACCAGGAGCTTCCCAGATTCCTTCCACTCTCACTGGACTATTTTTGGTCTTACACTTCCAGCAGTTCAGAATGCTAGACAGAAACATGAGGTTCCAGTGGTAGAAGTAACTTTGACTAAGTAACAAGGTCTGGAAGAAGATCCAAAGTATTCAGGAACCGGAGAGTCTTCTACAACTGGACCGGTAAAGCACTGTGATTAGATTCATTAAAACTTTTCACTGAGTATGAGACATACTTTTAAGTACAGTCCTTGGCTTGTACGGACAGTTTGTGCAATACGTCCTACCACGATTCTACAGTTCAGTTAGGAACAGAACACATCTACATGTAAGGATTAGAAGAGGTAATCCTGAAGAATTTTTTAATCAAACTCAAGCGTCGTACATCATTGCAACAGCCACGCAGTGAGAAATATTATTCACTTATGTCGGATTACATGTGGGACCTGGTCGTGTTATCACAGGAACCAGACTATGTCTGAACCAATGTCGCCCTAGTACTCGTTTGGGCAACAGCGAGAGGATAATTTTGCAGAACATTTCTCGATCACCAAAACAAACGAATAAATAAAATGAACAAATGAATAAAGTGAGCATGGCAGCAACAAAACAGCGACACGGGCGAAAGGACTCACAGCTGACATTCCAGGCAGGACAAAGGGTCCATTATTCCAGTTTTATCTTTATATGATTACATACAATGAGTGTGTGCTTCACTTTAACGTCCCTTTCAGATATGTTGACAATGGTAAAGACAGAGCAGAGCTTGTACTTTGGGCGTGTCTGGCGTGCAGAAAGCCTCGATCAAATGACTTACATTAAGCAAAAGCCGTGGGGGGAAACTGTATACTTCAGGGCAACATTAACCACCCTAAGAAAGAAAAAAATCTTTTTTAAGCAGTCATTAGATCATTCACTAAAAGTTTCGAAACTATTCTACACTCTCGCCTAACACACTGATTTGGAGGAGTTAAAAAATTATTTGGGGGGAGGGGGGAGGTTTGAAAATTTTTTTAACTCTTTTAACCCAAGTTCTGAACAAAACCTCACTCTCAATGCCAACATTCCAGCCTCCAAAAGGGATTTTATAGCCCAGTGGACCGCAAAGCAGGAACCATCATTACGTCCTGGTGAAAGTATTTATCGTCTCGTCTGCGCAGCTTTTCATCGACACTGAACTCATCCAAAATTTTAAAAAGAGGGAGAAAAAACACATTCTGGTGCAAATGATCTCGTACCTTAAAATATAGACACTGCAAACAAGACAAATACAACTAAGGACAGAAATCCTCGATTGTGGCACACAGTGCTGATTTTAATGGAAGAAAGGCATTTACAAAAATGATTCTGAACATATTTTGGCCACAGACCAATACTTAAACGCATTTGTCCAGAGTTCACACTACCACAGGCTGTTATAACCGAAACGTCACAGGCAGGTATTGGTCATACTGGGGAAAGGTTAGAGCTAGGCCTGTTTGAAGATCTCACAATAGGCCACATCACAAGAAACACTAACGCATCCACGTTGGCGAGGGAGCAACCTAGTGTGCCAGATGATCGCCTGGACATAATTTAACTTTAAAGGGAAATGGCACAATGGCTGGACATAGAGAAAGGGTTCTGAGAAAGAGGGGGGAAAAAAAGTGTGTCCTTGCAGCCAGGAGCCCACTATCTAAAAGGAGACTAATGAAGGGGCTTTGACCATTTAAATCTGCCCAAGTGTGTGAAATCCCACAATAGGGCCAGTCAAGGTCAGCAGGGGTCAAATTCCACAGGAAAATGAAAAAAAAAAGAAAAAAAAAAAAAGTAGTGGAGGCCTCTACATTGGTCTGAGGAATGTAACACACTCTTCTTGGTTCATTGGCGCTTAAGAGGTGAATCTATGGAGTGGCACAGTCCTTTGCTGTAAACAACCTGTGAGACCACTCAAAGCAAAATAGCATTCCAAGCTTAAGTCATATAATCATGTACCATTGTTTGACCAGAAAGACAACTACTAGGCGATAAAGAACTGGACCGTGAAATTACACAACTTTAAAAGTCTGGCACTCAAACATTACAGAAACAAGGGATATTAAGCAAAGTTTAAAGGTCCCATCAATACGTCTTGGCTGCAAAACCACAACATGGAGACAATTTGGAAAGTGCATGTATGCCAAGGGAAAAAAGTGTCAGTTGTGAAATTTGCATCTGTCCCTGGGGAAAGCCAGCAGGTACAGCCCCCACCCTCTGACTTCAACAGCATGGCATTTGCACATGGTCAGTACTCAAAGAACCCACCTACACAAAGCGGACATGCGCGTGATCTACAGCGCAGTCAGGACAAGACAAATATCATGTACTATGCCCTTAACTACTGCATGTCCAAAAAAGAAAAACACACACACACGAGTCTACCATTGGTAGCTAGGATGAGAGAGAAGAGACAAAAACTCGAGGGGGGAATGCTATGAGTGATTGTCGTCCCACAGGAAAGTAAATAAATTCCTGTAACATGGGTCAAAGCATTTCGAGAGCCAAGTTGTAGTTTACAAGAGCGTGATTTGTGCTCCTCGAAGGCGTCCCACCTCTTCAGAAACCGGATCGGGTTGGGACGGGGGGGTTGAAATGCGAGACCTTTCACTTAGAGAAGCCTCCCCTTTTGCAGCTCGGTAGCGAGCCAGAGACGCGCCGCGGATCCGTGCGCGATGACGGGCTGCGCTCCACCCCAGCAGAAAGTACACGGTCATTCCCCCTCGGAATGCACGGGGAAACCTGGAAAAGACCCAACGCAGTAGGATGCCGTCGACTTTCCGAAAGGAAATGGAAAGATCGCCTTCTAGCAAATTTGCAGCGATGACACGGTTTGACGTCAGGCAACAAAGATTATTGAACTTCTTTTTGGAGAAGTCACGTTCACTCCTCAAACCCTAGTTTCTCCAAATGAGTACCTGTATACTCAGCTTCCCATGATATTAAGTTTACTACTGACAAAGCACCCCAATATGAAGCAACTGCGAAAGACTAACAGATGGGGCCATATGAATATATGGTCGTCGGACAGCACAGGATCTCACTTGTGAATAGACAGGTAAACGGCCTAAAGACGACCCCTCCCAGGGTAGTCTGTAGGTGGTCATGTCCCTCCCAAACGACCAGCCTGTTGGCCGGGGTAGGGCCAGACCACAAAGCTGCCAGGCGTCAATACAGACACGCTGCCCATCTGCTTTCCCCCAACAAATACCCTTTGTAATCTTCAAGTAAAGGCAAAATTTAAGGACGTTTTAGTTAGTGTGCCAGCAAAGTCGTCAGCAAAGAATTTCGACAGCCCGGTGGTCCAAAACCAAAACATTATTCTTTTAAATATCGTCAATCTATTCCAGTAAACTACGTTGCTGATGTGTTTGTTTAGTATTTTTAAACGTGCCCCGAAGACAAAAACGTATAAAAATTACCTACCTCGAATTTCAAATTTATTTAAAACACGAATACAGATAGTGATCTAACTGAGAATGTAGTTAACCATAATCTATGTACAAAAAAATGAGTTTTACTTACCGACTCAGCGTACACAGATGCAACTAAAAGCAGGATGATGATTTTCATGTCTGCGATTATAACTCGCCGGAGATCAATCGAGAAAAAGCGGCTAAAAGTGATGGCGAAGTATAACTATCGGTGGCTCGTTCAAATGTATCCTTCTGAGATCTAAACGCCGAAGGATTAAATAAAATAAACCGCTGAGAAAAGTGAAGAGCTGCGATACTCTACGCTTCGAGCGCCGCGATCGAGCTGTACTAGAAAACGTACCGTATTTTGATCCTTTTCTTTGGACCCGCCCCCAGGAGGAGGGAGAAATACGCACAGAAGGAAAAACTCGGGGAGACTACGCAAGTATGCTAACGACAAAGGCTTGCAAGATAAGCGTGGTGACTCATCGAGAAGGAAAACACAAATGAAGCTTTACGCGCCCTTATGAATAAAGTAAACGCAATCCCGGACCTTTAGCATGTTGGTTTGTTAGCGGTTAGCACCTCCCCAGGCTGCTGGCTCTTATCCCCCCGGTTCTGCGCATGTGTGAGGGGATTGCACGGTCTCTATGTTTTTCCGCGGGTTTCCCGCAGTCCGAAAGCACGCGGTTAGTTAGGTGTGTGGCGTAAGGTGGACGGGAATGTTTACTGCGACCCTGCAATGAATAAACAATGAAAAACGAATGAATTGCATTTTACTGATTACTTGGAGGGTTTTGAAAACTTTGAAACAAAAACTTAAAAATATAAATTAGAGAACGAGTGTAAGATCCTGAAAAAAATACAGGATTATACTGTTATACATACATAATCTACGTATAAATGTATGTGTAAACTATACATTAACATTTTAAACAATAATTTACTATTATTGATAAAACATTAAGTGATCCTATTCATTTTATAGATACTTTTTTAGAACTGTCTTTTTAAATATAGACACGTGGAATGGTAGATGGGAACATTAATGAATGATGTAACACATATCTGGTTTAATTTCCGTATTGAATATAGAAGTTAAGTTCCGTATTCGTTAGAACGCAAAGAGAATTTCCCGACTGCGAAACGGCAAATGGAAAGTCCGCTGACGTAGCATTCCGGAAAAAACGCTTTCGGTTCTGTCCTTTCCAGAAAATCAGCAAAACAACAAAGCCAGCTGTATAAGTAACAGAAATATTATGGGGTTTCAAGTTATAGCTTCAATATGCAACAGTTTAATTTTATTTTCTCTTGCTATTGAAAAAGTACTAACAAACGTAAGAACGTTTAAATAAATGAATAAATTCGGCACTGCCACTTTCTCAAGGAGTCTCGCCAAAGTCTGAGTTACACAGATATAACCGTAGGTTTCATAAATTCTCCATGGTAACATATTTAAATGGAAGTGCTTAATTTTGAAGAATTGCTCATTAAAGACATTAAAATATAGAAGAACGCACATTACTGTATGTCTTGTCATAGCTACTCGTATTTCTCTGCTATGTGAACCTGTGTTTGTAAATGACAGTAATATTTGGCACAGCACAAAAAACTAAAAATCAGCAAAAAGCCGAATGAAACAGCATTGTCCTCTTTTACATCTAGACCTTCATGAATAACTTTGTCCAAGCACCTCTGTTGACATAATGCTTTTTTTGTGTAACACTTGCATAGATATCACTCAGCTGATCTGTTCATTATGGCGCAGGATCCAATTTGTTTGTGCAACACATGCTCTACAAATAAACAAACAATGGTCACATTGTCCTTGACCTTCAGGAGTGACAGGGAGCTTGACCAAATGGGAACCATCTACAGTATATCTGCAGTTTGTCATTTTTCAATGACTACAGCTGGATTGTGACATTATTTTGGCTTGAAGATACAGAGCGCTGCAGGCTTATAGCATAAACATGTGGGCAGAGGTGGCTTAATGGTGGGAAGTGCACTTGTAACTGACAGATTACTGGTTTGAATCCCTGACCAGCAAGGCACCACTGAGGTACCCTGAGAAAGGTACCGCCCCCAAGCACTGCTCCCCGGGCGCTGAATTAGCTGCCCCCTGCTATGTCACGATGTCACATATGGGTTAAATGCAGAGGACACATTTCATTGTTGTGTGCTGTGATGTGTCAACAATGACTACTGATAAATTAATTCTAAACACAAGTGCTATCGCACACTATAACTGGGGGCACTATGTGGCTCTGTGGTTTAGGACATGGGCTTCCAAACTTTTCAGCCCATGACCCCAAAAATAATAGCACCAGGGTCTCGCTTCCCATTATAGTTAAAATATAATGTTTTTTCAAGATTTTAAAACATGGGAACACCTGAGTTACGATATTGTTCCCAAAATAGGTGAAATACATGATTCATGTAGATCTGATGAGTTTTTAAAATGGGGATGTGGGGGGGGATTGGAGTCATGGGTAATGAAGTGATAACTTCACCTTCTAGAAATGAAAAGTTCCCGGCTTCAAACTGACACTGGCAACTGCAATGCAGTTGCATCATGGGTTGGTTTCGAGTAAAAACATGGCGGAAGGCAGTTAAAGCACTACAGAGATTTTTCAGCCTGATAAGAGGACTAAGTCTGAAGTGTGGTCATATTTTGGTTTTTAATCTTTGTGACAACCACCTACTTTATAGTGAATGCAAGGTAGGTAAACTTTTAGCTCGATGCATGATGTTAGAATTTCAGAAGTTCAAAAGTGCTATGATTTGTCTGTCTAATTTGCTAATAGCTTGTCAGTGGTGTTGCAAAGCTCATGCTTGTTTAGCCTTAGCCTCAAAGCTAGCTGAATGCCTATTTGTAAGTGCTGGCTAAAATGACATCCCGTGAACTATTTGCTGTACGTTTTTGATCCCTTTAGATGGTGCTCTTCATTTTGGGACATGCTTTGGACTCGGGAAGAAGAGGCTGTGTGACACGAGCGAAGGGTCACCTGTGAGTGGGCTCTGTTGCTGCACTGTTTGTTGTATATGGTCATGTGCTATGATCTTCTCTGCCGTCGCAACTATTTGCTGGAGTGACTTGTGGTCTGAGGTTTTGCAGTTCCTGTACCAGATGGTGATGCAGCTGGTTAGGATGCTCTCCATGGTTCTTCTGTAGAAAGCTGTGAGAACTGGGTGGAGGGTGGAGGGAGATGCTATTCTTAGTCAGCCTAGGAAGTGTAGCTGCTGCCTCAGAGGTTGGCTGACCCTGCTTTCTAAATCATATGTTACTTTGGATAAAAGTGTCTGCTGAATGAATGTTAATTTAACAAGGTGGACTACTTTAAAGATAATACCAGATGTAACGTAAATGAATGAGAGCATCTTACGTCAACATTGGTCTGCAACAAAATTAAAAAAGAACTGTAAATATAAATTATATTCTCAAGAAATATGGCCAAGCTAATATAATATTCTTCCCAAGGGACTTGTGTTGCATACCACATACAATATAAATACTAGAAATGAAACATTTTAGTAGGTACAGTCAATGATTCCATAGCTTGCCCCCAGAGAACATTACTTTCCAGCTACCTTTAGTTATGAAAAACTAGTATCATATGTGGGTATTGCCCTGTGGATTCTGCTTTAGCCTCCAGCATTGTGGGTTGGATTCCAACCCCCTGGCTCTGTGAATTCTGCATGTCCTCCTTCTATTTGCAGGGGTTTTCTCCAGGTTCTCCAATTTCCTCTCATAGTCCAGAGTACACTCTGCCTGATTCATGGCCTACCAGAACTGCAATAGTAAGTAGTTATAGATAAGGGGTGAATGACATCTCCAAAGTGCCCTTAAGGTGGTACTTGGATGGCCTGGTAGCTTTTCCTACTGGTACTACACCTTGTGCCCCCTGGGAAAGGCTTCAGACTAGATAAGTGGTACTGGAAAGTGGATGGGTGGATGGTCTTGCAAGTCAGTGGCACCACCCAGAGGCTGTATGTGTCATTTAAGTTCTGACACATTGGAGAGTGCAGTTTATATCAAATCTGCTGTGAGGCAAAATAATGGGACTTATAGCATCTTTTTACACATTCCCCCACTATAATCTTATTTATGGCCAAGAATTCCTTATTGAGGGACGATCCATATTTAACAATGCTTCCTTCCTTGTCTGATTATTTGAGGTTCTCAGAAGGAGTGATATCTATATCATCCAATTTTAGGATCGTCCATGTGCCGACTGAAACATTGCTGTTCTGTGGAATCCAAAAGGCCGTCACCTCTCAGTTCAAGTGAAAACCTGTCAGGCAGTCCCCATTTGCTCATTAAATAAACTGTTCCCACTGAGGTAACTGTATAACTCGATCTTCAAATTTCTTTAAAAAAATGTGCCAAGTGATAGCTGATTATCACCCTATAATTCTATCAGAACAAAAATTACTATTATCCATGTGCCATATTTCAGTTTCATTCTAGAAAATACATAATATGAATGGACACAAGCATCACATTACTTTAGTAGTTCAGGAATTCCTTGGATAATCCTTTTGTCAAACATGTGTAAAGGCTATAATTATGATGAGGAATCCTGTTACACTGCCAGGAGGAAGAGTACCAATTTGTACCTTTCCTTGTCACTAGGGCTGTACCCTCAAGGGTTTGCTAATTGTACCCTAGCTGTAGGTAAATTTACATTTTAATCTAATTTAAGGTACAGACTTTTGGCTCTGAGGAACATCCATGGTACAAAGATGTTCCTCAGAGTCCATTTCTGTATCCTAAAAGGTACAATTACCTACAGCTAGGGTACAACTGGCAGACCCTTGAGGGTACAGCCCCAGTGACAAGGAAAGGTACAAACTGCTACTCTTTTTTTTCTGACACTTTACTGGTCGAGAAGTACCCACCTGGTATTAAGAAAATGGACAGTATAACTGAGGAATATAAATAGTGACATGCTTTTGGTGGTTAACTCACATTTTGAGTACATTTCTCTGCTACTACTTTGTAAGGTAATGTTTTCCGTCCTGTGTAATCCCTGAACGAGGAGCAGATGTTGATTCGACACATCCTAACATACGCGAGAAATGCTCAGATAATATTTCCAGATTTCTGCAGTTCTTATCCTTTCCCATTGATGGCGCCTTTGTGCAATGTATTAGAGGAAGATATTTGCGTAATAACTGAATAGAACATTTACAAGTTTTGAGAGTAATAGAAATAATAATTTCAGCTAATCCCAATGAAATGTGATTTTTTTTTTTTTTAAAAAAAAAGCAGGTTCCATTTCACGGTTAGTTTTTTTCAAAACGCCGTATGACCACTTTACAAATTTTATTTTTTTTATTCACATTCATCAAGAATGTATTTTTAAGCGATTATTTGCTGTTACCTAGTGTAATTGCTGAGCATATTACAGGAAGACCTAGTGCTTTGGAATTATTATTATTTATTCTCTGAGGACCCTAAGCACCCCACCCGCTGCAGTCTGGTAGGACGTTTCGCAGCATCGGAACACTGACTACGAGATTCAAGAGCCGTTTCTTCTAGCCATTCCGTTTCCAGCATCAACATTTCCCGTGACAGTCATATCTACGGCACCTGCATTTTATCGGCCACCGCGTACTGTTTAGGTTAGTACTGTCTTGTATTGCTTAGCACTGTTTTGTTTAGTCCTCAGTAATCGAGTGTAACTGATCGAATAATATATATATCCCTCCACTGAGTTTCACTTTGGAAGGAATCATAATACCCCCTCGCCCCTCCCCGACAAACGTATGTCAAGGAGGACAGCAGGGATAACCATATTGGAAAATCATGCCTGTGTTTGCTCCAACTACTGGCTACACTCTAACTTGGCTTCCACATCAGGTACTCTTGCTGTTTGGATTTATCCAGCCATTGCTATTACTGGCAAGTGAATGTTAATAAGTGTTTTATGAATCACTTGTGACGCGTACCCTCAGGATAAGGCGCCTCCATTTCACACCTGTTCTGCTATGGCAGTCCGGGTTACGCTGGGTTTGACCGAGTGGAAAAATCAGCAACTGTAATCGGAGCCAAAAAGAGTCTTTAATCCGTCTTTCACTAACTCTGATTTAAGACTTTTAAACATTTCAACTGGCTGTCCCTTCATTTCTCTTACAAATTTTGTAAGAGGGTGTATTTGGCCACTTTTCTACACGGTTGTTGTATTGAATTATCAAACAAAACATGACAGGTCTACATGCAATACACAGTGTATTTACTAACTTTACGTTATACCATCTTCCACAAACCATTTATGTTACGCTATCGTGATAGTTTTGCAATCGAAATGTTAGTGGTGATCCTAAAGCGCTTATAAATCTAAAATAGGCTACTTCATGAGTTTTACCAGAAGGTGGCATAATACACCTGAGTACACGGGGCATCAGTGCGTGTGAGTGTGTACGCAGTGTCCCGCATGGTCCAACTTCCAACTATTCCAAAACCGTTCAAGACACTTATATAAAATTGCCTATTTATTTTGTAGCCTATATATACCTATTCTCAACCTACCGTATACTAATTATGCATAGAGTACAGAACTGTACCTATACAATGTGAATCCTCTGTAAAAACAGTACAGTAGTTGATATAATGTAGCCTATTGTTTAGGGAAAAAAAATACAAAAAACATTGTACATGCACCGTACAGTACGAGAACGGCACGAGGTCAGCTCCGCCACCATCCAGTGCTAGACAACAACTGCCTTAGGATGCTGGCCAGTGGGTGTGTTAGTATACAGTGGTGACAGTCACTGCGCTCGATCCACGCTTATGCACTTTGGAGGTGCATTTTGGTTAGTTTTAAAGCTAACCACACTATCAAAAACTTTCTAAGATGCGGACTGACAAATATACAGAGCAGTTCTTCCGTAATTAGCTTCAAAGCTGATTAGCAATAGTAATCATTACGTATGTTTTTAATTAAATATAGTGATGGGTGAGGATTTGTCAGCATCATGTGTAATATGGGCTGTATAATTGTGGTTTAATTTTACGATGCAAATTGGGCATGGCCGCAGTAAGGCGGACTTATTAGCGAGATGGGAAACAGTGACATCATTTTTACACCCGCAGTGCTTCGCATGTACTTGCATAATAAGTACTGGCGGTTTAGTGCGCCCTGAGCTGACCTTGTGGTCATTCTGGTTTTTTTTGTGTGCTCCAATCAGTGTTATGTATATGTATCTGTATATACTCAAATCAATGTTTTAATGAACTGCGTGTAAGCCTCATAACTTTAGTTTGTCCGTATGGCATTAAGTAATTGACGCGAGACTTGTACGTTTTACCCTTATTTACATTAAGAACGAAACACGGTTAAGTAAAAAAAAGAAACAACAACTCGTTAACCAAAAAAAATAAAAAATTTGTACCGATAAAGCAGTGTATTGCTCTCTATAACTAGTGCATTGTTTTCCCCATACGAGGTGTACCCTGCCTCCAGGTGTTTCCTGAGTTTGCGTCACCATAATCTTGATTGGCTAATTGCTTAATAAATAAGAGAATATGTATTTTGTACATTTAAATCCAGTATGATGAGATGGCTGCTCATACTGGATAAACAGGATGGGCTGGGAGGAGTGCAAGAACATCATTCTTCGCCTGGACGGCAGCCTCCGAAGTCTTGGGATATAATTGTATGTCCAGTCTCAGTCTGTAATTACAATTAACGCCAAGACTCCGCCCCCACTCCTCCGTTACCTAGACCTTGATAAGCTGTTAAATGACAGATATAGATGGATGAAATCTCAGTTTATCACGTACCGGGAAATAACAACAACAACAACAACAACAAAAAAACAACTGTAGCCTGACCATTTGTCCTGATAAAAATAATAATAATAAAAATCTCAACAAACTCATGCAACAAACTTTTTGTAGGAAAGAACTGCTGATGTATTTTTTTCCCAATTCATTTCCATAACTGCCTGTCCAGTGTAAGATTGTCGAAAGCCTGGAACCAATCCCAGGAAGAATGGGGCATGAAGCAGAGGATATCCTGGATGGGATTGTAGCCCATACACAGATACAACAGGAAAATATAGAAGGAATAATTCACCTAAACTGCATGTTTTTGGACTGTAGAAAGGAAACAGATGGCAGAAACTCCTAGCGACCATACAGATTTATTTATTTGTTTACATTTATTTAGCAGATGCCTTTATCCTAAGTGACGGACAATTGGGAAAGCAGGGCCAGACAGTCCAAGGAGCAACTGGGGTGGGGGTTAGGGCCTTGCTCAAGGGCCCAACAGTGAAATCACGCTGCTGAACCCCGGATTTAAATAAGGAACGTTCCGATCACAGGCACAGATGGCATTCCTCAGCATGCCCTGTCTTCTGCCTGGGTCTTCAGGCTCCACACTGGCATATACAGTACATAAGTATGTATGTATAGGATTAAGGATGGAGGTGGTCAAAGGTCTTAACTGTGCACATCCGAGGGGCCTGTTAAAACTGTCACATGAGACTTGTCATGTCCTTATCACCCCAACGCCCATGTTACGCATCTGGCGAGCAAACTACTAAAGCTGTGTGGACTGGTGGACAGGGGGGTGGGGTGGCAGAAGCTCTTCTCCAGTTACACATCAGCAACTTTCCAGTCGCTGTTTGACACCTAAGCCCGTGCATTGAAATCTTAGGGGAAAAAATGGTCTCGAATGTTCTTATGAAACAAAAAACGCAAAGATAGATGAAGGTAAGTAAACGGCCTTGAATTAAAGGGTGTGGAAGTAATTATTAGTGATTGAGTTCCATTCATGTGCTTCATTAATGACACCGTGCACAATCGGCACACTGTTCAGACACACCAGTCCCCTGCACGTCAGTTTATTTTATTCTCTTAAATCTAACAGTTAATACCTTGTATATTTCCAGCATAATATTGTGTCTGGCAGGTAATGCCAGTAAGTGTATCCTCACAAAAATAAACCAGCGAGCCCTATGCAGAGTGTAACATAAGGGCTGTGTGCAGCAAGGAGGGAGCCATGACGAGGACGAGGAGGACGGGATCCCGGGGGGACAGGTAAGGTCAAGCCAGAGGGCTACTGTTTTTAAGGATTCGAGAACAGGGAGCGACTGGGTTGGGGATCAAAGCTAGCTGCATGGAGGGCCACTCTAGATCAAAACAAAGGAAATACTTCTTTACACGTAGGGTGCTAAATGCCGTGAAGTGAGCCAAGAGTGCTAGTGGTTTGATGCAGAATTCCTGGTAGTATAGTTAAGAGAGTGCTTTCAGATTCAAGTTAACATTTGATTCTTCCAGCTGTCTGATTGAAATGCCCAAACCAGCAAAAAAAAAACTCT